TTTTTTTTTTTTTGGTCCCCTTGATACAAACTTAAAGCAGCTGCTTCTCCTCAGTTTTCAGTCCCAGCCAAAACTGGTTTCCACTGATATGGAATCGCTTATAGATATATATTTATAAATATATATTACATAGACACACGCGCGCGCACACACAGACACACATATGTACATGCACAGTGGCACAGTTGGACAGAGGATGACCGGAGCTGTGATGCGGGAGACAGAGACTCTTTACTCAGCTCTAGGAAAGAAGGGAAGGATGGGAGCTGGAGGGAGTGAAGGAGGGAGGGAGGGAGAAGTGTTTGGGATTGCATCCCTTCCTCCCTTTCACTCTCTCTTATGTCTCCCTGTCTCTCTCTTTCTCTCCACCCACCCCACCCTTTCTACGCTCCCTCTCCCCAACCTCCAGAGATGCACACTCGTTTGGAATATGGGGGTGCGCGCACATACACACTCAAAGTTTGCAAGAGTGTGTGTGTGTGTATGTGGACTTGTGAAATGGCAGAACGGAGCAGAAGCGTCACAGACATGCATGTGAGGGTGCCTTGGATACAGCATCCTGGTACACCTCTGCTCTTTTTTTTTTTTTTTTTTTTTTTTTTTTTTTTCTTAAACTCTTTTTGTTTTTTTTATTACTGTTATTTTCTAATTTTATTTGAGTATTTTTGGTTCTTAGTACAAAAAAAAAAATCATACTAAGTGTAGTCCTTTCTTCCCACCCTCTTGCTCTTTCTCTGTCTTCTTCCTCATTCTTTCTTCTAATCTTGACCTCTTGTCCATCTGTCCCTTTCACACCATCTTTCTCTCCTTACATCATCATCATCATCGTGCTTGCTTTGGTTATGAGAGAAGCTGGAATTCAAGAGCTCAAATTTAGCTGTAAACGGAGTTGTCTTGTCAAAAATTGTGTTGTATATTAAAAATGATTTTTTAAAGAAGAAAATGACCTTATTGTGAATAAAGTACTTGACAGTGGTGGAGTGTTGAGCCAACTGTAACATGGATGAGTGTCTAGTTGTCTATCTGTTCTCGTCTGTGTGGATGGTACGTGTGGTGTATGTGTGTGTTGCACTGCCTCTCCATCTGACTGAAAGTTCATTAGGCCTTTATCTGAAGTATATTGTAAGCAGGCTAGATGGGAAGGAAGTAGCTGTTGTTACCTACAAGAAAACCGTTGGACCGAAAATACCCTTACACACAATGACACTTAATGTATTCTATCAGATTGCTTGCAGACACATTGTTTGGAGTACACGCAAATCTGAAAGAATGCTGCATGTAAATGCCGTCTGTCAACATGGAACATAGCCCTTTGACTTATCTTTTACCCTATTGCGTTTTCTAAATAGAAATGGGTTTTTTTGGGGGTTTTTCCTATTATTTTAAAAAATTAAAAAGGATGGCACGCATTATAAGAGCACACCTCGTTCATTAGGTACTGCACAAAATTTGAGTACAAAAATGTTTAACATAAAATCCATGGGGAAATTATCAATTCTCCCTGCTAGTGATCATCAATTTCAGTCTCCGATTAATGAAGACGTTCAGAAAATGAGTGCCAGTGGCTGAGAGTTTGAATTTAACGGAAGCCAGTTTGCATCTTGGCCTCAATAGTCAACTATGAGAGAGAAAGATATAGATTTTTTTTTTCTTTTTAAAGAAAGGAATGCATGCTAGTGAGGTTGTATTCCCTGTTGCTACTGTTCAAGTATTGAATGCAGCCACCAGGTGGGGGTATAAACTCAGCTTTCTCCTACAGGCCGATCTGTTTATGAGTCTGTGCCTCTGTTACTGTTGGGTAGCAAGGTTTGGAGTCTAAACAACCTGTTACAGCAGATCACATGCCCACTGTTGTAAACACTAACTGTGAAGGAGGGATGTATACTTTAAAAAGCTTACAGTGGAGGACTTTTAGCAAAGCTCTGGGTAGTGTATTTGAGATCTATAATACATTTGTTATTGTGCAGTGTGTTTTCTCTAGGAGGAAGAGAAGGAGGGGAGGTGGCCTGCTGAGGGGGTTGGTTTTCTTCATTTCTGGGTTTAGTTCAGTATAGTAGAATGTTTCAAATTCTGGGAATAAGTTATGTGGGATGGATTTGTGCTTGGTGGAGCACCATTAATATATGATGTGTGTATGTGTTGGATATGGGTGTGTGTGCTTCCTCTGGGTCTGTGGGATTTTGGCCCATAATTCCTGCAGCTCTCAGGTCACAGCTCCGTTCTCACGCACATATTTGGCATTCCTTCCTCGACATGATTACCATACACCTTCCACTCCGGGTTTGGCTATGCGGAATATTTCCATCATTCCCGAGTGGAACTGGAGCAACGTTCCAAAAATGAACAGCTCGCCCCACCGCCACCACCCCCTACTCACTTGTCTTTATCCTATCCCTCCCACCTCACTGTCTCCTCCTTGTACAACACCCCCC